CCCGGCCCGGCGTTGCCACGGCAACCGCGGTGTCGCGTAGGGCCCCGGCCGTGGTTTCCCGGGCCCGGTGGGCCGCTGGGGGGGGGTCCGTACCGGCCTCCACCGGGTCCGGAGGCTTCTAACGGGAGTTTTGAGGACGGGGGGGGAAAATGGTTAAAATCGTTAAAGTTGGAGCCGCGGAGCCGGCACCGGGGGATCGAGCTGGGGCTGCCCGGGCACCAGCTCGGCCTGGGTGGGCTCGTAGGGAGCGGTGCGACCGGCTGCCCCCAGTCCCGGCCTTCACCCCGACCCCGGTCCCGGTGCCGGCCCGGGCAAACCCTCCCCTCTCCTCTCTACTGAATTCTCATTTATTTCCATAGAAGCAGCAGCGGGACGAGCGAGCTCTTCCCGGGGGGCTGCTCCCATCCTCGGATCCCAAAGCCGGGGGTCCATCACGTCGCTCCTCCGGCCGGGTGCCGTGGGTCACGTCTCCGCAGAGCAACAACAACCCGAATCCGTTCCTCCGACTGTAATTCCTTCCTGTGACCGGATTCCCGCGACCTTTAGATCTTTTGGGCAAATGATATTCCCTCCCAGCGCTTCCCGCTGCTCTCTTGAACAAACTCTTTCCCAAAGCAGGTGAATGCCATCCGTCGACGTCTGGTTTAACGCCGTTTTGACGAACCAAGCTGACGGGTTTCCCGTCGTTACTTCTAGGGGAGCCTCAGTGGCATCTCTCCTTCTCAGGCGTTCAGGTCGCTGGTGGTTTTTCCCTGTTAAACTTCATGCTTTGGCCAGCCCCGTCCTGGGGAGCAAAACAGTATTTTATTTAGTAGTGTTTGGTGTAGTTCCTCCGGCTTCTAGTTTAGTGTCCTGTGAGGTGTTGTGAAACAAAGCAAGGTTCTGGAGTTCGGTTGCGTAGAGCGGCTGCATATGTCTGGTTCGGGGAGTTTGTCAGGAACAGAAAGGTTTGGGCATTGTGCGTACAGAGATTATGAATGTTTTCATTCAGGGCCTATTGAACCCACAAAGGCTCTGTTCTCGTATCATCCAGGAATTATAATCAATAGCCTACAAAGAGATTGTTTATCTTTAACAAAAGAGTATACGAGTACACTCCTTTTCTGGCTTAATTTAATTTTCCTTGAGTTTCTTCTCTGGCTGTTAGGAGACAGGTAAGTACAGGCCAGCTCATGGTGATAAATAGAAATCGATGTTCCTTGTCAGATCTTACTACCATTAACAACAACCGCTATTAAGAGCACTGACACAGTGTCTAAAAACTATACATCCAGTAAAAGGGAATGGTCTGGGGGTTAAATCGTGGGGCCTTTTACTCTTGATCGTTCCAAAGTCCTCAGCCAAGCTGCTGAAAATCTCTATCCCTCTTGCTCTTCCCCGGTAAAGTCTGAATAATTTGCCTTTCAGGTGGCTTTTTGTATTTACCCCCATATTCTTTAGTTTTGGTAGGAGTTTAGTGACGTGGCACCTTAAAATATTCACTCTGGATGTTCTTAGCACCTTTAATTTGTTGAAATAGACTTTAGGAATCTGATTCATCCTTAATTTAAGCTCTCTTTCCTCCATCGCTGCCTATTTACACTCAATTACTAGGGAGTTTCATTCCCTGGCTCTCAAGTGCTGCCTTCAGAGCGCAAGGCAACAATTACATGTAGAAGGTAGTCGTCTTTAATGTTGTGAAAATAATAGGTTTGGGGTTTTTTGTCAAGTATTACAAAACACAGGCTTTGCCTTGCATCCTGGACACGAAGGAGTCCCATCAGTTTCTGAATCAAACTTGCACTAACAATGGCAGCTTATTTGTTAAATTGTTATAACTTACAGATGAAAGAAACTTGACTTCTTGCCATATTGATGCAAGACGGCACCGTTCTCAAATCTATAAACGAAATGGGTGGTTTCATCTTGGCTGGCTTGATGACATTTTTATTGAAGTGCTCTTTTTTCTCTCCCCGGTGTCCTCATCTTAGTGCTCGAAACGGGGCAGATGAATATCCCTCCGAGAAGCCGAGGATTACAGAGAGTTTACACAAATTCCAACTACTAATATGCAAATAAAATGAATGAGCAAGACTCTTGTTGGCAATCTACGACAAATGTTCCAGGCCTGCGTCAGTATTTATTCCTATCTTTATGAAAACTTCTGAACAGAGTGTGCCTGAGCCTTCAGGAAGCAAATCCTGGCTGTGTCTGAGCAGAGCTGCTTGCGATCTGCAATTGCATTTCAACATCCCTTAACGTCAAAGGTGCTCAGATCCACACCCCAGCTTCTCTGCGGATTCATCTTTAGCTTTAATGGGGAGGTTCTCCCAAACGAAACCATCTCTCTGATGGCTTTTCACAGCTCCACTACGCTTTTTCGGTCCTCGCCACTTACCTTAAGTGGCTCTGAAAGGCATCCGAGCCTACAAAGGGTTTTCCTTTAAGCTGTGCGCTGCACACAGTGAGTCATCCTTGCAGAACTCACAAGGAGTTTCACAAATACCAGATGGCAATAATATTAAAAGTAGTAGCTAGTGGCAATTAAGCATTTGCTATAACCGTTCTCCCTTCCTGACTGTAGGAAGCTGCCAAATGTCTTTTTTTTTTTTTTTTTTTTCCCCTTGACTGAAAAAAACCCCAAATGATGTTTCTGCGGAGTGGAAAATTAACAGAATACAGGACGCATGCTTCCTTCCCTAGCCCGTAATCCCATTTGGACTTGAGTGGAAAGCTATTTGCTGTATTTTGTGCATCTGTAGGAGAAGATGAAGCAGAAAAACACCCAGTAAAGGAAAATTTGGGGCATTGTATGGGCACATGCAAAAAGTGTTGCAGCAGTGACCCTGTTAAAACTGCAAACTGGTCACTTCTAGGCTCACAGGATGTCCGGCTCTTTAAACAAGACTATATTCAGGCATGCTACGGAGTTGCTGGGACTTAGTTTGGATTTTTTGTTTTGTTCTTATACTGCAGGCTGTTGCAAAGGATTTGCTCCACAAACTTGGAAATAGTTTGAGTTCATTAACATAGGAAGCGTGTCCAAATACCATTGTGTTTGGCTCAGTATAAATAACAGTGACTGCTCCCCTTCCTTTTCAGTGACTCTTGCTGCTTGGCATCTCTTGGATCTATCAGCGATACATAAATAGTTATTAGCTTTTTCAAGCCCCAGGTACACAACCTCGGCCCTTCCTTCCGACGTATTACACATACAGCATGCTTCATCCATTCTGTTACTTACAAGTCACATGCGATGTGACCTTGCCAAGATTTTTTAGAGATAAATCTCTCTTAATTTATGCATGCCTGACAAGGAAGGACTTTTTCATGATTCACATTGCAATAAGAAGCACAAATCTACTTCTTCCTAACATGTAAACAACGCGATTATTTTTTTTATTATTCCCCCCTATCATAATGGAGAATTTGTGTCTTATTTATAGTGAATCATATTAAAATGATCTTATCAGTATTAGTTTTCACACAGTGCTTTAAGAAATCCTAAGATGTTTTCATGCTGCGTTTGGCACAGATGAGGAAAGGGTAAGGCCAGACCAGCTCCAAGTCACCACTGTCCCCAGCTGTGGCATTTCTAGCCCTGTCCTGGCAAGGAGAGAAGTGTCGGGGACTGATGGTGCATTGCAGCAGCGGAGGAGCCCGGGCCGGAGGATGTGAGAGCAAGGGGAAAACCGGGGCAGATATAGGGGGTTTAAATCAACAGTTTCTCTTCGGAAGATCTCCTCCCAAACTCTAGTCTGGTGCCAGCGAGTATTTCTTGTTGTTTACTGAGTAGCACCTCCTAGTGTGCTGTGCAACCTCTTTCTTAAAACACACTTTAATCCCCCTGGGACGCGAAGGCAGCAAATGCAGCAGCTTCTGAAAAGGAATTATACGACCAGTAGAAAGATCAGAATTAGTGGATACGTGGATAACCTGATAAACGGAAAGGAGTCAGTAGAAGTCTTGCCTGGAAGACCTGTTGAAGTCCTCAAACACATGGGTGGGGAGAACAAGGTGCTACAGTCTACTTGAATTTCCCAGCGCCTTTTTAAGAATAAGCAGCCTCTATTTGTGGAAAGCAGGCACAGATTAAGAGGGAAGAATGTAGCCTGGACAAATAACAGAGTAAAAGATTGGAAGAGTAGGTCAGCATGACCAGGCACTTCTGTTCACAGGTGGACATCACCAGCGGAATCCTGCAGGGATCTTCACCCCTCAGCGTACCCACAAGTGCTTTCTCCTTTTGTGAGCAACATTTTGGCCAGTTAAAACCTGAGCTATAAAACAATAAGTATTTTGCGGACCATCCAGCTTCGGTGGTACTTGAGTTATTGAAATTTCTACTGGCTAGGTAGACAGTTGTCCTAAAGATTCCCATCGTAGGGAACTGGTTTGTTTGTGATCTTGTTTTTCTTTGTTTCTCCTTACTCATCACCGCCTTGCCTCCTGTGCTAGTGGGCGAGCAGGTTTTCCTGGAACGGGTCATCTGTCTGGCACGGAGCTGTGGCACGATCTGCTAGGTGAAAGGGATCATATGCCTGTCAGACAGCCCCGAAAAGGCTTTTATTTAAGGAACACCAGTGATGCAAAGCATTACAGTGATTGTCACTGTGCAGGTGAAACACTGAAACGCCAAAACACCAACCGACTTCTCCTAGATCACGTATGGTTTCTGTGCAAAGCACAGAACTGAAGGCGTGCCTGCAGTTCCCGAGCAGGAACTGCCTGGAAATCACTTTGCTTTGAGGTTAAGATCATAACGATGAAACATTTATCTAATTGGAGCCATGCACTGCTCCTAGAGCAGCAGAAGAGCCCGGCTCAACCCGTCACAGGCTGCAGATGAGGAGCTGCGTGTCCTCCGTCTGCTCATCTGGCAGATGGTTCAAACGCTGGTCCTTCAAATAATAGCCTTCAGGGAACCCTGGGCTTCTGCTCACTGCTTGCTGAGAAGGAACTCGAGGTGTTTGTTGTGCTGTATCTTGTCCCAGGTGTGATCTAATTCCTTAATTCATTTTCCCTTCCTATGTTTCAGCTTTTGAAGTTTGCTGGAGTGCTGCAGCCCCGACCCATGCAGGATGGACCCTGTTGTTCTCAGCTACATGGACAGTTTGCTGAGGCAGTCGGATGTTGCCTTGCTGGAGCCCCCAAACTGGCTTAACGATCACATCATCGGGTTTGCCTTCGAGTACTTCACCAACCACCAGTTCCAAGAATTTAGCGATCAGGTTTGTTTTATCAGCCCCGAAGTGGCTCAGTTCATTAAATGTGCCCTTAGTCAGGAAGAAATAGCCATATTCCTTCAACCACTGGACCTTCTCCACAAAGAGCTGGTGTTCTTGCCTATCAATGATAACTCCAACCAGGTCGCTGGGGGCACCCACTGGAGCTTACTGGTTTATTTCAGGGACAAAAAGTGCTTCGCCCATTACGATTCCCACAGTAAATGCAACTCTCTCCATGCCAAGCAAGTGGCGGGGAAGCTGGAGGCTTTCTTGGGCAAAAGAGGGGGCAAAGCAACCTTCATGGAGGAGAAGGCGCCTGCCCAGCAGAACAGCTATGACTGTGGGATGTACGTGATCTGCAACGCAGAGGCTCTGTGTCAGGGATACTTTAGGGGCCGGCCGGAGCCTTTGCTGCAGCTCCTCACCCCCTCCTACATCACGCAGAAGAGATCGGAGTGGAAAGCTCTCATCACGAAACTGGCACAGAAGTGATCGAACTGCAGCTCCGGCCCCCCCAAAAACTGCCTTCCCCGTCTGTGAGGCAGCACCCCCAGTGCCTGAGGGAGATGCCCATGCGCAGGATTGTCCCAAAGAAGAAGAATGTAACCCCTCCAGCATGGCTACACCCCCCCCAAACACCCTGTTCCCTCCTGGAAAAGCCTTAGTCCCCTCTGGACATTACTGGCCTTTGAACTTCTAACCAGAAAAGTCACTTTGCTTTCAAAGAAATCCTCCTCTCCATGGTGAATTTTCACACTGATTTGTGTGGCAAAATGGGTTGCTAAAGAGACTTCACCTTTGCTCAGCAGGCAACACGCCCTCATTAGGTGGCTTTAATTGGCTATAGGCATTGCCCTTCCAAGCCAGGTTTAGCAAATGCCCTTTAAAACCAAGCCTCCAAATGCTTTCTCATGGCTATTTCGAATTTGTGCCTCCAGCTAGTGGTATTTCAGCAGTCTAGGATTTAGCAGCAAGGATTTTTCACCCCTGAAAACCTGACACTGAGATGTCGATGTCAAAAGACAAGACTCCAAAAGAAATGCTACGATTAAAGAACGGGGTAAAAAGAAAATCTGTTTTCTTCAGATAGGTGCTCCTAGGCTGTACAGCGGTAGCTTTTTTTTCTTTTTTTCTGTCCCCCACCCCTGCTTGCTCTTATTACAAATTAAAACCTGACTCTGAACTGCTGGAAGATTAATAGGAAGCTGAGAAACCCAATCCTAGGAAAGGAAACTTAATTGAGATGAAAAGCGACACTCACTCTTTGAAGTATTTTTTTTTTCATTACGATTTTAGGTCGTCTCCATTCGGGGAGGGTTCGTCAGTGCTCCCCAACCCTTGTTAGCGTTTGCTGCACTCAGAGCGTCCAAGGCTGTCGCTGCTTCCTCTAGAACAAAACCAGTTCTGTTACTTGAGATAAAAAAAAAACCACCAGGGAGAACAAAAGGACAGAGTTTGAGGTATAAAAGCCAAAGATAACTGCAGTCTCCTTGAAGCCCAAGAAGTCCTTAATACACTTCTGATCGAAACACCTTTCCTCCTGTGCTGGATGATGGCTGGGATCTCAGAGCACATCTTCTCGTTAAAAGACAGGCTCAGCACTGGGGAAAATAAAAATTAAAATGAGATGTCGTTGCAGGGTAAGGAATAATCTCTAATCATATGAGAAGCAAAGAGCAGGTTGCTCAGGTGGTGTCTAGCAGAGCAACCACACTCCGGCACACCAACTGAATCAGGGAAATCCAGGTTAAATACAAGCCTCGAAAAAGAAAAGGAGGAAGGATTATTTTTAACCCGGAGCTCTTCACCCATCATATTGCCAGCCCAGCCCCACTGGTGTGCGTAGTAGCACAGCACCAAGGTGATGAACTGTAGGAAGGGCTTAAACTTCCCTTGTTGCTAAGAAAAAGGGTAAGTAGCCACAGCCCAGGCTCTTTCAAAACACCCAAGCAAACACGTACAAGCAGCAGCGGGGCAAAACGAGGGTTGGGGTCGTTCCCCTCCTTCCTATGCTGCCTGGACGGGGGAGCAGCCGGCGGGCCAGGGCATCTCTTCAGCACCAGCCCTCCCTGGAAAACCCCTTCCCCTGCTCAGCTGGAGCTGAAAACCCAAGAGATGGTTGAAACGGGATTGAGCCGCTCGCTGAAGGGGATTCACTTTGGACTCCACGGGGCTTTGCCGGAGCAACGTCACTGCCACTCCCGGGTCCAGAATAAAATTCAAAACCAAAGTGTGCGCTTGTCAGCATCATCCCATCTATTGTATAGGTACCCGCTAACAAGCAGCGGCTCCTGCTGCCCCACGGTTTCTTGTTGTGCAATGGTATCGTGGCCACAATGGCTGCGATTCGCGGGCAGAGCCTCAGGTCTTGCAGCGGCTTCTCGGCCACTCTGTGCCCCGCAGTGGGTGAACCCAAACGGAAATTGGCCTTAGAGATCCAGCGAGCCTGGGGACAACTCCGCCACGCCTTCCGCAATAGCGAGGCAGCCACACAAACTGATTTAATCTCCTAGTCCTATTTTTAGGGGTTGATTTGGGCTGGGGAGGAGCGCAGGTAGAGAGGAGGTAGGAAGGCAGGGTGGTGGGTGTGAGTGGGGGAGCATTGGGGGGGACTTGAGGGCAGGGGCTGTGCTCATTCGGCGGGCGCCCCGCGTTCCTCATCCCCAAGGGACAGGGCAGGGCTGCTGGAGCCAGCAAGGTGAGCACCCAGGACGTTTCCTGCACCCAAGGCTTTTACGTGGCATTTCTTTACACAAAGAAAAGCAAATAAGCTCAAGCAGGGTGTCGGCGGGAGAGCTAACACACGCTGACCAGGCAGGCAAACACTGGCCGGAAAACAAAACCGGAGCCCTGCAACCAGCTCCTAGCAGCAGGGAACCCCCCCCAAACCACAGTGGGGGTCTCACCCCTGGGCTCCTCCAAACCTCTTCCAGTTCAGCCGACTGCACCCATGAGTGGTCCCACTGCCGGCTTTAACCAAAGAGCCCTGAGAGGAGCCGAGGTGGCCGTCGCCACTGTCACATGCCTGGTCCGGGCTCGGCACGAGGACAAGGGAGGGACCCCACGCACCTGGTTTGTATTGGGTGCTGCGGAGCACCCAAAAACACACCAGGCTGGGCACGCAAGACCAAAAAAGCCCCAATCCTAAACCTAATTTTTGGGACCATAAGCCCCACTGTGAGGTTGAACCCATTGAGCACCAACTTGTTTTTTGAAAAAACAACCCCAAACCCGTTTTGGCGGCTGCACTGGCACAGTGAGCTGGGCAAGTCCCCAGCAGGGATGGGGTGGCAGCGGGATGGTGCCTTTCATCCACCGGGTCACCCACAAAGTCAAAGGCTCCAACAGCCCCATAACACCAGAGCTTTGAAGCAGCCTCAATAGTTTGGCCAATAACGTGGCCAAACCACAGACCACCCCCTCAGCACCCCAGGGTGACACCACCCCCGTCCCCATTTAGCCAATGCCACCTCCACTGTGGCTTTCAAGTTGGGCCATTTTCATGCATTTCACCCATTTTCATGTGTTTCGCTCCATGGGCCAGGCTGGCGGGGGGAGGATTTGGGTTGCGGATGCTCAGAGAGGAGGAGGAAGAGGAAAGCTCACCCTGTCCACCCCAGCAGGACGGGGCTGCAGGTCAGCACCCTCCCCAGGCATCCACTGTCCCCAGGGTGGCCCTGCCACCAGCTTGAGTGTCACATCCCGCAGTGTCTGCTGCCATCTAGTGAAAAAAACCTCCCTGTCCCCTATGCCCGGAGCATGCCTGGCCCTGGGGTGTCCCCCAAAAGCCACCCTAGTCCCACCCGCCCCAGCCAGGGCTGCACCCCAGCCTGGTATTCCCCCCCCCCGCCGCCTGGCACGGCCAGGGTGACACACAGGGTGACACGCAGGATTCCCTGGTGTGGAGAAACAATGCTGAGCACCCACCGGCGCGCTGGCCCATGCGGCACCCCTCCAGCCTTGCCCTGCAGGGTGGGATATTGGGGGCTAAACAGCCCCACCTCCACCAGCGCTGGCCCAAAGGGAGGACAAGGCGATGCCACCCATCCCCAAGCCCACACGAGGACAGGGCTGTCCCCACATAATCCACGTCCTGAGGATGCAGCCAGCGAAGGGGCACCAGGACAGCACAGATTCTGGGGTACCCCGTTTCAGGGCTCGCAGCCCGGCACCACCGCAAGGATGCTGGCAGCAGACAGCGATGTGCTAGAAAATCCTGGTTTTATTTTCATTTAAAAGCCGTTCCAAGCCTGGAGCGAGCAGCAAGCTCTTCCCCAGGGTGTGGGGATTTGGCCCCATCAGCACTTGTAGTTCCAAAAAAATAGGAAAGAAAAAGAAAAGGAATCGCACAGGTATCACCTGCCGCCCCAGCGTGCTCCCAGGGGAGGCTGCGGGACAAATCCTGTCGCACTCAGCTCCACGCGGCAATGAGGTTAACACGAACCAGGGCACACACACGCTGCGATCTGGGACGTTCACTCGTGCCAGCCACAGGCTCCTTTTGGGACATCTTAAAGAGGTGAGCGGGGCTAACGAAGCCTTGGTCCAGCACCATTGCCAGGCGCAGGACACCTGGTATAGGGGACCCTAAAGTGCTTTGCAGGGGACACACACACACATACACGCACCCAGAGATGGCCCAGTACTCCAGGAAAAAAGGGCTGGGGGCCAGTACAGAGCCCAGCAGAGCTGGGGGGACCCTAGATTGTACCCCCACCCTCGGGTGCTGGGATAGATGATGCCCCACAGGGCTGGTGGCCCCTTTCTCCCCATCCCTGCAGACTCCCAGGGTTGGGGCCATTCCTCCACCCGTGGCCCCGGGGATACCGAGAGGGGGACAAACAGGCAGGTTCAGCCCAGAGCCGCTGCTCGGGCTTCACCCAGAGCAGCAGCAGCAATTCATCCACATTTTTGGGGGTTCCTGGTGAGCCTAAGGTCATCTTTTAACAAGAAAACCCCAAGTCTGGAATAAAAACCGGCACCCGTTTTAGCAGCAAGTCCTAAGGGGAGGTCCAACCCCTCAGCAGTCCCAAGCCATCGTCCGGTGCTACCGAGCTCTCGTCCGGTGCTACAGTCCAGCAGCGTCCCGGGGAGAAAATGGGTTTCCAGTGGGACGGGGAGTTGGCACCAGTGGCCATGAGCTGGCCGAGTGGTCCCGCTGGGAAGAGAGAAGATACTTGGTCCCATTTCACCGGCCAAGGGAAAGCCGGACCACGTGCAACAGCCATGGCTGGGAGGATACAGCACTGGGATCCGTACACAGGGTACCACCATCTCAGCGTCCGTCCTCAGCCAGCGCTGGGGGTAACGGTCACCTGCAAGCAGAGAGCAGGGTAAGACGGGGCGAGTGGCTGCAGAGGCACAGTACCCCAGCCCAGTGCCCAGGCCCCACAGGCACGAGGAGGGAGAACCCCCGCTGTCCCCAACCCAAGGGAACCCACTCCTGTTGTATTGGGTTTGCATGGCAAGGTTTTGGCAGCAGAGGGGCTACAGGGATGGCTTGTGTGAGAAGCTGCTAGAAACTTCCCCGGTGTCCAACAGAGCCAATGCCAGCCGGCTCTAAGATGGACCCACCGCTGGCCAAGGCTGAGCCCATCAGCAACAGTGGTAGTGCCTCTGGGATAACATATTTAATAAGGGGGGAAAAACTGCTGCGCAACAGCAGCTGGAGAGACAAGTGAGAATATGTAAGAGAAACAACCCTGCAGACCCCCAGGTCAGTGAAGGAGGAGGAGAAGGAGGAGGAGGAGGTGCTCCAGGTGCTGGAGCAGAGATTCCCCTGCAGCCCGTGGTGAAGACCATGGTGAGGCAGGCTGTCCCCCTGCAGCCCAGGGAGGTCCGCAGTGGAGCAGATATCCACCCGCAGCCCGGGAACGACCCCACGCCGGAGCAGGGGGATGCCTGAAGGAGGCTGTGACCCCGTGGGAAGTCTGTGCTGGAGCAGGCTCCTGGCAGGACCTGTGGCCCCGTGGAGAGAGGAGCCCACGGAGCAGATTTTCCGGCAGGACTTGTGACCCTGCGGGGGACCCATGCTGGAGCAGTGTGCTCCTGAAGGACTGCAGCACGTGGAAAGGACCCACGCTGGAGAAGTTCATCGAGAACTGTCTGCCATGGGAGGGACCCCACGCTGGAGCAGGGGATGAGTGTGATGAGTCCTGCCCCTGAGGAGGAAGTAGCAGCAGAGACAACGTGTGATGAACTGACCCCAACCCCCATTCCCTGTCCCCCTGTGCCACTGGGGGGCTTGGTAGAGAATCTGGGAGTGAAGTTGTGCCCGGGAAGAAGGGAGGGGTGGGGGTAAGGTGTTTTGAGATTTGGTTTTATTTCTCATTACCTTACTCTGGTTTGATTGGCAATAAATTGAGTTAATTTTCCCCAAGGCGAGTCTGTTTTGCCCGTCACGGTAATTGGTTGAGTGATCTCTCCCTGTCCTTAGCTCAACCCACAAGCCTTTTGTTTTATTTTCTCTCCCCTGTCCAGTTGAGGAGGGGAAGCAATAGAGCGGCTGCATGGTGCTTAGTTGCCAGCTGGGGCTAAACCACAACACCTGTCCATCCCTTGCCGATGCCTGTGGTCCCGTTAGCCACAGGGCACAGCCCAGCTCCACCAAGATGCCCTGGTGCTTCCTACAACCAAGGAACCAGCCCCAAACCTGCAAGGAAACCTTTTCCCAAGGGCTGAAAGTCTCAGGGACAGCAGAGCTTTCCCTGGTCGCTCAAACCAGCAGTTGATGGGATCATCTACTGCATGGGGATGGCACTTTGAGGTCTGCCATCAGCCATCCCAACAGCAGGCACCGGATAAGGGACAAAGCACCCCTGGGACACATCGTGGAGCGGAGCTGTTGCTCCTTGGACCACATCCCTCAGGTTGTCCGCTCGCGGTGTGACCAACCTGCCCCAAAGTGTCCCCGACGGTCCCTCACCTCCTGGGCCCGCGGGAGAGGTAGTCCCGGTTCAGAGAGCAGAGCTGCTGCTCCAGACGGAAGATGCGAAACGCCAGGTACGAGGAGGACACAACCAGGAGGCAGATGCTGGGAGCAGAGGAAAAAGTGCAAGCGCTCAGCGGCTGGTGGTTGAGATGGAGGTTCCCAGCGTACCCCCTATACTTCCCCACGCCACGGCCGCCCTCAGCACACTTACAGCACAATGAAGATCTTCAGGAGCTGGTAGTCAGAGGGTCTCAGCTCCGCCACACAGCTCTGCTCCACCTCCAGCTCCTCCTCAGTGTTTATTGCACTTTCTGAAATACAAGTCCAGAGTCAGCAGCACGGCAACACTGGGCAGATGCTCGTGCTCCTCCGGCAACTGGGAGCCTTCAAGCATCACATACTCCTCCCTCGTGGGCTAACACTGCCTGCACAGGCATTACAGGTGCACGCCGAGGGCTCAGACCCCACAGCCAGGAGACCCCATCCCCAGGACCCCATCACCGACTCCCAGCCTCAACCCTGTTCGTCTGCAAGGCAGAAATCCCCTCCACGAGCGCAGAGGATGGATGAACATGTATTTATGGAGGTTTACACCCAGCACCATGTGCAAGGCAGGGCACAAACCCGCGTCCCTGGGTCAGATGCAGCCCTCACCCGAAACCAGAGGCTCCTCGGAGGTGAAGGAGCTCTCCTTGGCGCTCAGGCTGCTGACAGAGGTCCGGTGGATGCACTGGTAGTCGGCATCTGGCAGCGACAGTGACAGCGAGGCGGGTGACACCTTCCTCCACTTGCCCTCGGGGACAATCACCTCCTGCGGGAACAGCCCTGGGTGAGCCAAGCCACCGGCAGCACTTTCTCCCGTGAAACTGGCAGCGCCGAGGACACAGTGGGGCCAGATTCAGCCTGGAACCTTACAGCATCTCCGTCGAGCACCAGCACATCCAAAAGGGAAGCTGGTCCTCCACAATGGGCCCGTGGGGACATAGGCTCCTGCTGCCATAGGAAGGACCTGACCACGCACCCCACACCTGCCCCAAATACCAATTCCTACCTCCTTCACCCCTTTGTTTGAAGCTCAGCACGGTCACCCATCATCCTCCAAGACCCACTTGCCCACCCTGTGGCTCAGCATACTGGTCCCAGCGCACCCCGGAAAGGCACCGAATTGAGCAGGGCAGCAGCCGGCACAGAGAGGGGTTCCCCCGCCGGAGAGTCCGCGGGGCTGGAGCTGCTGAAAGGCTACAGCCCTCAGAAGGACTGGGAGACACCACCAGCCTGCATCGCTCCCGATTCAGCCCTTGAAAAGTGCCTTCAACCCTTGGGATGCCACCAGACCACGGGGGACATCCCATTTGTCACCTCCTGGTCCAGTGTGTGAGGCCACTGGCCCACAAGGGCCACCCCAATTGTCACCTCCTGCACCCAGCCTGATGCACAAGGCCACCAGCCCATGGAGGACACCCTGCTCAGTGTCCCCGTACAGCCCAGCACAGCTGCAGCACCAATGCCTTCATGACGGAGCAGAGACAGGGATGGGCCATCCACATTTCATGGAGAGGACACATCCTGCCGGCCAGGGACGCAGCCATTGCGGGCAGAGCTGAGCCCTGCCATGCTCCAAAGGCAGCAGGATGCGGCCCCTCGTGCTCCCTCAGTCAAGCCACAGTTTGGCAGGCTTTTCCCTCTCCAGTCTCCCGGCTATGAGCCGTCCCACTCATGCCACAGGTTTTTGGACAATTCAATCACATTTCCAGCCTGTTATCTGTGTTCGCGGCTGCAAAGAGTATCAGCTGGCAGGAGCAGTATGGCAGCATTTTCCGCATCGCTCTGAAGATTTTCTGTCTATAAACAGACCCCCAAGACCAACCAGCCGAGTCATCAGTTTGCGCTCAGCCACAGGCTGTCCGAATCGTCCTCTTGACCCATCCGTTTCTGACAAGTTGGGGTATGAGGATCCCAGAGGACGAGCTACGAAGGCAACGGCCGCATCCTCGCACAACCTTTGTCAGCAGCGAGGGGAGAAAACTGACTCTGTGCCCTGCAAGTGGCTGCCAGCCGAATCTCAGCATGCCGGGAAGGCGTTAAACCCACCAAGGGGGCCAGGCGGATGCTCTCCTGCCCACAGCGCGAGTTCATGGCCGTCCTTCCCTCTCCCAGAGCCGCCCTGACCCTCACCAGCGACACGGCATCAGGCTCCTCTGTCAGCTCCTTCAAACTCAAGCTCTTCTTACTCGAAACCTGGAGGGGAGAAAAAATCAGGCGTTATGGTGCTGCCTCTGCCTGCTTCAACCTGAGCCAGAAAATTGAATTTTGACTTTTCTAGTGAGTCTAGGAAGAGCAGCTGTTTAAAACTTGCAAGCACGGGGATTCTGGAGACAAAGAAGAGCATCCAGAGAGAATGGGGCACTGCATCGCTGCTTCCCATCACCAAAAACCCTATGGGGCTGTGGCTGAGCTGAGGGCTTCTGCACTGGCCTCGGCTCCTGGCAGAGGGGATAAACCATCGGGGGAAAAAAACCAGGAATATCTAGGCAGAGCCCAGCACATTTCAAAGAATAAATTCCCCAGTTTGGCAATGGGTCTGAGTCACCCAAATCGCTGCCCCAGCACAGCCGGCAGACACCCTTCTGGATGGGGAAGGGCTCCGGCACCACTTCCCATGTGCTTCAAAGGCAGGGAGAAGAAGAGGTCCCCACAATCCTCCTCTCCAGCTCGAGGGCTGATGGAGGTCTTCACCCCTCAGACTTTTTAATTCAAATTTTTTTTTGACTTTGCACCATTTTTCCTCCCCTTAAAACTTCAGATCTGGGGAAAAGGCGGTGATGTGCAGAGTGGCAGAACTAGTATTACTACCAGATTATAAATAATTCACATACACGCCCTGGGAAAGAACAGAAACTCCGGGCTCTGCCTCCGTCATCCATGACCCAGAAAAGGCCAGCGGCAGCTCACAGGGACAGGATGCGCCCGGGGCATAGCTCCTGCCCCTCTTCCTGTCCCTTGCTGTGGAGCGAGGACGCTGGGAAGAGGCAGCAGGGCACCAGGGAGGACTTTGGGAGCAGTCTGAAGCCTTGGAGGCGGTGGTGAAGAGCTCTGCTCCCCAAAATGCAGCCCAAGGGGAGAGCACAGAGCCCTGCAGCCATCAAAATGCTGTCAGATGCGGGGTAGAGGGTACCTGCAGGTGCGTGCAGACTCTCCTCAGGACATCGTAGACGCTGTCGCGGGAGATGAGGGACACAAAGATGTACTGCAAGAGAAAAAGAGAAGCTGCTGGGAGAGATTTCCCCCCGTCCCGAGTCTGGTTCTTCACAGGCAGGGAACAGGCAGAGACATCCTGCCCTTGAATCTCCCCTCCTTCAGGAGCCACATCCCCCCCACAGGCATCTCCCTGCAGAGTTTACTTGCTGTTATTTTTGCAGCCTGCTAAAACCTGGACCAGATTTTTTTGGGGCCAGTTTCACTCAGCTGCTGTTCCCATGGGGCCTCCCGTGCTTAGCCCAGAGGGATGTGGCAGCAAATGGGGCCAGGAGCAACAGAAAACATCCCCACGGATCGGCACAAGAGGACACGGGGCAACGCTTGCCTTGCCCGATGCAGAGTCCACGCAATGTGCAGAGCAGATCGCTTTGAATGCCCAAATCCTGCCTTGTGCCACCCCCTGCTAAAATCCTGCAGGAATAACCCCCTCCCTGTCAGGGGATCTGCAATGCACGCTGCTGCCAGCAGCAGTCGGCCAGACGAGGACTCGGATGCACCGAGCAGGACTACGTCAGCTCGTTGCAGCCGACAACACCCAACGTGATTTAAAAGCTGGAAATTCAGCCCCTTAACGAAGTTTTCTGCCAGCCCAGGTTGAACGCCAGCCCAAACCCTTCCCCTGCTTGCGTTTAAGGAGTTTAAAGGTTTTATTCGAGCCTGGCAGGGATTTGTCAGGCTCGACCGAGTTCTACTCGGGCTTTGCTTCGCTCAAAAACAAAGTGAAATTCAGAAACAAAAGCAAAGCTGTGGTGTTTGCCCTGGCTGGCTGCCAGCACAGAGAGCAGCGCTCACTTCCCAACCGGCCCACACTTTCAGCCAGGGATGGGAATCACTTCATTCCCTGCTCTCAAATCGCAGCCAGCTTGGACCAGGGCATCCCCTGGCTGTGGTGAGGCTGGGTACCAATGCTCCAAGCGTCACCGTTACCTTTCTGCTGGCGTTGGTGGTGATGGCCAAGCCATTGGGCAGCAGCCGAGCCGTCTTGTGCTTTTTTATCAGCTGTACGGAGACCACCGGGATCACGACCTGCAGGGCAAAAAGACATGGGGACGGGCAGGGACGGGCATGGTGTGAGCTCAGTGAGTTTCTTTCGCAAGGCAGAAATATAACACGCATCGTAATTATGCCTCAAGCCGAGTGGCGACGCGGGGATTCAGCATTTCCCAGAGACAGCTGGGTTTTTATTAAAGGTCACAGCATCCCCGCCACGTTAATCTTGGCTGGGAGGTGGTTTCTACTCAATCAGAACAGCGAGGACATGAGGAAAGCATTGTCCAGCAAGTCTCCTTAAAACCCATCATGAAAGCCCCCTCTACAAGCCCACAGAGGGTTAAAACTAAGGCAGGATATAATTTATGGCAGGATAACTTCATTGAAACCCCGTATTTCTATCAGCTATTTGTTTAAAGTGGCTGATATAAATAATTCAGTTCTTCAGCCCAGTTTTAAAGGAAGTCGTCTCTCCCCAAGATCCCCGTCAGCCACAAGACTAACAGGGAAACATCAGACTGTAAATCAAAAAGAAAAGCCAAGAGAGATTCAAATCTCCCCCCCCCGTCCCCCCCAAAACCTTTGATCTTCCTTCAAACACTGTTGCGGCTTGTAGGAGGTTTTGCATCAGGGAATTTTAAACCAAACCAATATTTGGTTTCCCCAGGCAGGTGCCGCAGGTGATCAGAGGGGGAGGCACAACCATGCTCCCCTTCACATCGGAGGCTTTTAATTATGATTTTGGTGGTATTTGGATGTACGAGGGGATAAGCTGCAGCATAGCCTGGGCTACAAGCTCTAAGGGACCAGGGTGAGCTGGTCTCCGTGTTACCTTGATGTCCTTCCCAAAAAGGTTTGCGTAGAAGCAGAGCCAGTTGGGGGAGATGTAAAGCCTTCCCTGGATGAGGATGTCTCTCTGGAGCGCACATGAGCAAACTGCAAGGCAGAGAGAGGGGCATGGCAGACTATGTGCCAGATCCTGCTACCCCCATACCCGTCCCTTGCCATGCCACCCACCTTTCAGCACGCTCTCCTCTGTCGGGATGTCCTTGAACAGCTTGTGGTACTGGGAGTTGTACTTGCTAGCGGCCTGAAAATAAAGCAGAACAAAGTTATCTAGTGACCTTGCTGAAGAGGAGACCCAGAAAAACACCCTCCTGCAAAAAAAATCTCCCTCTCCCCGCACCCGGGACCAATGCAGCAGGGTCCCACCAGGCTGGGTACGGCGGACCCGAAGGGCTAGAGGAGGGTCAGATGATCCAGCACCCAGCAAACGTTGTGCCATCCTCCCAGATAAACATATCCCCTAATATCTAAGGAGGCTCCTGAGCCTCTGCAAGGAGCCCGTTTTGTCCTGGGCTCATCTGCAGGCAATTTATTTTGCCCAGCTGTTTCTCTCCTCCTCCTCGAGCTCTTCCGTTATTCGGGGCACAGTGACAACACTTGCTTTGCACCCATCGCGCCGCGCCATCCAGCTATTTATATTCCCGGTGCCTCTTCAAAGCCTGCCAGCAGCCGCGGCAGGAGGCTCGGCAGGTTCGCCCTTAAATAAATCTGTATGTAAGTTAAAGGCTCCAAAGCAGTTCAGCACTTTGCATTAAATCCACTCAGTTAGTCCTGTAAGGCAGCGCAGGCAGATTTGCACCCCCTGCCCTGGAGGAGGCAGCGCCCCAGGCCTCGGGGTGCTCCCCAGGGATGCGACTGTCCCTGCAGCGGTGACAGCTGTCCCCTGAAATCCAAGGGACAAGATGCTTTGTGAGGACGTGGAGAAGTCCAGCACAGCTCGAAGGGCCCCAGGGCAGCAAGGCTGGTTTGCAGGCAGCACTGCAGGCAGAGCCCTCCTGCCCGTGGTGACAAGGTCACCTTTGTTCCGTGCACCTTGTCACCGGATGAGCTGGGCCGTAAGAGGATCAAGGCTCAGCATCACCTGGGGTCAGCTCAGACACCACCCCTGGGAGAGACGGCGGGATGGTGGGGGTGCCGCTGGGAGCGTTTCAGAGGGACACAAGGGGTTATGGAGGGACATGGTGGGACTGTGGCATCACCTCTGAGCCAACCCCAGGCTGTCTTTGATCCATAGGTCAAGAAACACCCCCTGGCCCCAGCACAAACCCATTGCCATCTAGTAAGCCTCCCAGATGCCTCTGAATAATCAGCAAAATGTTCTTCTCCTCCATCTTTTTCACAGGGAAAGGGAAAATGCCTCCTCCCTCCGCCCCTTCCTCTTCCAAAGCATCTCTTGTTTAGACAGACCGAAAAGCTCTACTTCAGGCATGATTTGAACAAAAAGGTTCAAACGGACAGGAACCGAGCTGCTTGCAGTCAAGATTTCCACTTTCTCCTTTGCTCTGGAAGGAAAATCCCCAAAGTGTTTGCAAGGCAGATCAGAGGCCACAGGAAACCATCATCGACTCCCCTGAAAATGCAGGCGGGAGCCTCTGCCCTACACCAGAAGCCGCTGTGGCTTCTCCTCTGGCTCCCGCAGCCCACGTTTGAGACCCCAGGCAGGCTCCGCCCTGGCAAATGGCCGGGGTCAGGCTACAACGAACCAGCCCATTTGCTCATGAAGCCAAAGACTTACCACTTCGCGGTGGCATTTCTTGATGTCTTCATCCTTCAGGGCTTCATTCAGGTGGAGGCTGGAAGGAAAAATATAATAATAATCATAATCATCATCATCAGGTAAGTGAAGAACCCCAGGTCTCTCACCCGCTCCCTAAAACACATGTGCTGCAAGAAGAGACACAGTAAGATGTAGAGGACTGCAGACAGACCCCAGGCAGCCACATTTCGGATGTCTCTGTGATTTATTGTAGCACTGGGCATTGCTGAGGTTAAATAACAGCTGCAGGAGAAGGCTGATCTCTGTCTGGCATCAGGCTTATAGTGAGCCAGTGGAGGCAGCAGCACCAGGGTGCCGGTACCCAAAACACACCCCAGCACTGGGGGAAGCAGCCCAGAGCTGCCCCCAGCAGTAGCCTGGGACAGGTTAGGAGCTGGTAACGGGCAGCTTCAGCCAGGTCAAGGTTTCCCCAGGGAAAGCACAAATGGGAATTTGGGAACGTGCCCAGGCAGAAGGACGGACTCGTCTTCGGCCACGCACAAGGGCATCCATCCACACCCATCACGCAGGCAGATGAAGGGAGAAACCACAGACAGGGAAGTCCTCCCAACAACCTCAGCAGCGGGAATACCGGTCCCCTTCCCCAAACCCCTCTCCCCTCCCTGCTTTTATAGACCCAGTATTCGAAAGGGAAAATAAAGAGAGGACCCTCTGTGCCCACCCATAGCTGGCGAGCTGCATTTAGGGGCTTGGAGGCAGCAGGGACACTGCAGGAGGTCGCAACAGGAGGCAAAAAAGAGCAAAGACTCGACCGTAGACCCCAGGATGCTGCCCCTTACCTGCCATCGAGGGAATCCAAACTCTTCTCCTTGTGGGATGCCTCCAGTTTCTCACGGCCATGCATGGGCTCAGGGCTCTTCAGGGGAGCTGCTTTTTCATGCATCGGCTTGGCGCTGCAAAGAGAAGCCTGTTAGCCCCCGGGGGAAGGGAAAGAGGGGGGAGATGCGTTTTGGAGCCATAAATCCATTCCCTTCAATCCCAGTGTGCACAGAGACGTCAGTATCTCTGCCGCTCAAGGACAGCAAGAATATTTCTGTGATTTCTCACGTCACAGGAGAAAAAAAGGGCATTTCCTGCCAGGAGCTCCCCAGCACTTGCAACCAAGTGGCCAAGGAGCAGCAGCTCCCTCCCCGCTGCCTCAGGTAACACCCTCCAAAGCAGAGCCTCTCCTCCCCAAGAGATGGAGGTTGGGATGGGAAAAATCGCAGCTCTACGAAACTCCCTGGGGTGATGGAGACTTCAGCCAGTGAGGGCCAGGGTCTGCTCCTCTGGGTCAGCAAAACACCATCTTCCCAGGGCAGAGCCCCTGCCGAGGGCACCACCTCCCTCCTTTAATTGCTCCCCTCTTGTTGAAGCCTGTTATTTACTATCATGAGTTTTATCAGAGGCGCTTATCAGCCACAACAGGTAAAGTAAACACACTCCCAGTGCCACCCGGGGAAGGTTATCAACCGGCGGGCCAGAAAGGTGACGCTTCCGCCCTCAGCAAACCGCAACTGGAGATTGCCATGCCACGGTGCTTCTGGCATGGGGAGCCAAAGCGAATCACTATCCCAGGGGACCAATGCCGGAACAGCGATCCATGGTCTGTGGCAGCACGGCAGAGCCGGCAAACAGCCACTGGACCTACAGAGAGGAAATTATTCAAGGGAAAAGAGCACGGCTCAATGGGCAGGGGGTGATGCCAGAGCAGGTGGGGGACTGGCAGGACAGCAGCAGGCAGGACAGGTGCCAGCAGGCAGGACGAGCGTGGAGCTGGAGCGCATCCCAGTGCCCGCAGGGATGATGCCTGGAGGTGCAGCAGAGCCCAGGCGGAGAAGCCATACCAAACTGCTTCCTACCTACAGAGAGGGGCTCTTTCGCTGCCTGTACTTCCCTAGCTCCCACTCCTAGGGGCTCATCTGAAGGGAAACCCATCTAAATAATCCCCCACAGTCTCAGTGAGAGCCAGGACAGGGGTGCTGCACCCCAACAGCCATGCCCAAACAGTCTGAGAATCAAAGCTGCGTAAGTCCCTGTGTCCCTGCAGCCTTGGGGGCCTGACCAAAACACTGTCCCGATGCAATGGAGCCAGGCTGAATCCCAGCTGGAGGCACAGGGAATGCTCCCTCAAGATGCAGCACAAACGCAGGGCTGCAGAAAAACAGAACGCAAGTCACCAGTGCCATGCAGTTAGGACCAGGCTGGGAACCAGCTCCTGAGTCCCCGCAACCGGCGTTTGCAAAGTAAACGAGCTGCCCATATAGCCCCAAAGCCCAAGCATTGTGGGGATGGGATGAACAGTTGTGGGGAATTTTTAGGAGAAGCTCAGGTCAAAGGATGTGTCTGGAAGGGAATGGAGATTCTACCGACAAGAAGCACCAAAATAACATCCCTTGACAATCACACCAAAAGGCCTCAGACACCCCGCACCTTCAGGACAGGCAGCCCTGCACCACAAACACCCTCTGCCAGGTGATGCCATGCTGCCCTGAAGCCAAAACTCCTATCACGGAGGCACCAAAGCCTTCATCCCCCCTGCCCCCATGCTGGAAAAGGGGCTCTGACCTGCTCTGGAGCCTTCCTCGATGGAGCTCAGCCTGCTCTGGCTTCCCCCACGTCATCCTTTAAATCCCCAAGCAGTTGCGCCACTTAATCCGGGCAAGTAGATTTAGCCCTAACCAGGGCTGACACCAAGAGGCACCGTGCAAGGGACGGGGAGAGGCACCCCTTGCTCGAAGCAAGGGCACCAAGAAACCCCCCCGGGGTCACCAAACACACAGAAATCCCCTAAAACAAGAAGGGCCAGAGACTGAAAAGGACTTGGTCCTGTCCCAGTTTTCTCTCTCTTACGGTCACTGCCAGGGACAACTCCTGGATCAGATGGTCCCTGGACGCAATGCTGGCATCAGGCTGCTCCAGGGAGGGTCTGAGGGCTGTGAGGAGCATCGTCAGCCCCAGTGGAGACATCGCAGTGGCTGTTTCATCACCCGTCTCCAGATCTCGGTCCATCCCTGCTCCCAGATGCAGCAGGGATGGAGATCTGGGGTTCGGGAGCACGGGATAAGATAAGGTTGGGCTCCAGGCACAGCTGACGGGGAGGTCTCCCTGCCAAGAGCTGCTTCCAGCACCAGCGCAGGGAGGAAAACACTTTCTAGCAGCTCAGGCCATCACCCTCCTCAAGGAATTTTTTCAGCAGGAAGCTGCTTCTGCAGGAAAATCACCATCCCAAGTGTCCCAAACTACAAGTGGAGCAAGAACAGTCAGAGCGCAGAGCCCCCGAGAGGAGGCAGAGCAGGCAGGCGCAGGAGTTGCCGGCAAAGGGAAAACGTTGCCGGCAACCTGCTGACGCCCTGCCCACGGTAACGGGGCTGACACCCCCCTCCCTGCCCACGCAGGCTCCCCCTGACCCCCAGCTCTCCTCCTGGGCTGTGGCTTTGCTGGGTGAAGCCCTGTGCTTCTCCCTCCCCCTGGATCGGCATCTCCCTTCCCTTACACAGTGCTGGGATCCGGTCTGGAAACGGTCTGGCACGAGCCCCTCCGACGGCGTTTGATTTTCACTGGATCCCTTCCCCACTGCTGCCGGCGAAAGCGAGGGGGAAGCACGCGGCGGAGGCAGGAGAGAGCGAGCCAGGGATTTCACCTTCCCCCCCCCAAAAAAAACCAACAAAAGCCCGAGGATCAGAGCCGGAGGGAGGCACTTGTGGCTGGGCAGCCTTGGCCAGAGCGAGCCCGGGCGGGATCCGGCGAGCTGCCCTTGTTCCCGGCTTTCAAGGTCATTTCAATCCCGTGTGTTGGCTGCTGGAGCGGAGCCACCGCCGAGGATGCTGGAGGGGAACGGCCGGTCCCCGGCGGCGCTGTCAGGAGAGAGGCGGGAGGTCAAGGAAAGGAGGACGAGACACGGACGGAGCCCTCTGTGCGTGTGTCCCCAGGTCCCCGCACCTCGGGCGGCCTCCCTCGATGCCCCCCCGCCCCCTCCCCGGGGTTCTTCTCCCTTGTCCCCGGGGACCTACACCCGGTGGGCGACAGCCGGGGTGAGAACCGAGGCCTCGGTCCCAGGATCACTCCCCAGCACCCGGGATACCGGTTTTTACCGGGCGCCGCTCCAAGAGCCCCGGGCCACGTTCCCCTCGCGGCCCCGGCGGTGCAACGATGGGCCAGGAGAGCTGGGGGACGCGGCGAGGAGCGACCGGGGCCAGGCCCCAGCCTCCTCCCGGGCTCGGAGCCCCCTCCACACACCTTCCTCCGCCAGGCAGAACCGGCGGCCCCCCTGGCCAGGCAGCGGCGGGACCCCCGGCCGCACTTCGTCCCCTCACTGAGGTGAAATGGGGGGG